ATATAATGAGGTTACTGTTTTTCACCACTTTTGTATTCTTATGTAATTTATTTGATATTTCTGTCTTGGTGAAAACCATAGTATATAACACCAATTTATTTTCTATCAGACAGTATGTAATAAGGCAATCTTTAGACATGAACTGAACACGTCATTCATAGCCTGATGTTGGGTATTCGTAAGGTTTCTCTGGTTGTTAAACACCAGTTAGTAGGCTTCTGTTTATGAGGACGGTTAAACAGATGGACCAAAATTCACTTGATCATGTCACCCTGTCTTCATTCACACAGAATCGTAGGGTTTCCTTTCGTGATGACTTCCTGCTTTCTTCCTGCATGTGGGAAAATTAAACACATAAGAAATTCTTAAAACATGGATTACTGTCGAGGACAGTTATGGAAAATTCCATTAACAGAAATTTACAAATCTGTGTACACAGGGACTTGATTTTAGAAGAATTCTTGTTATTTTGAATATTTCTTAAAACATGTCAAAAGTAAGCCAAATGTTTTTTTTAAAGATTTGTTACATATTTTTCGATAACTTTGTTGATAGTTTTGAAAATTTTGTTTCTTTGATGTTCCAACAGTTTTTGTGGTGTATTTTTCAGATAATTCTGCAGGTATCAAATGATCTAACATTATTTTTACTGGCATTGTTATTGAATGAAACATCGGCCGCCATCAACCATCTGTTACAAGGTATCGTCAGTTTACACGACGCTGGACAGAATAAATTGATGAGAGCAGTTAGTCAACTTGTATTACCACATGGTACGTACTCCTTCCATTTCTTGACGCCACAGGGCTAACCTGAAAATCCAGGTTTATATTCTGGCATAGGTTGGGATAGTTCCTTCTGATTTTCAACCCAGTTTTCACCTGGAGGAGCTGAAATAGAAAAAAAGGGTTAAGTTGCTAAGATGGAGTCAAGGCCTCGTGTGATAGAGGCTGAAAGAACACCAGTAGGATTTGGGAGCTTCTTTGAAATGTTGTTTGGTGCAGAAATGTAAAACTCCATTCATTTCATTTAAAACGTTAAAAGTAAATGCCCCTGTTTTTTTTTTTAGTGAAGGAATAAATATTTCTATTTTCTCGATTATCATTTCAGGTCCAAAGTATTTATTAAAACTACAACAGGAAGTAACAGCGTTACATGTTGTCATGAGTATAGATAGCCGTAGTAACATAGAGGGCGCTTCAAAAGTCAACACCTTAAAGCGATTGTTGTCAGAATTAAAAGACGATGACAACATATCATCCACCGGACACCGTTGTCGAGAACTTGACTGTCTCCGTGCATATTATTATTTAACAATTTTACAGTATATACACGAGGAAATGGAAAACTGTCTCAAATATGAGTTAAACAAAGGGGAACAACTCTTAAAGTCTTCTGCTGATGTAGACTCTAATGAACCAGACGTTTGTGCTCACACTCCAGAAACTGAGGTCGCTAAGGAAGTGGATTCTGATTTAGCTCAGTGTGGATCTGAAGTGGACCCTAGTCAAACTGACCAATCAAAATCAGAGCTTTTGACTTCTGCTAAGAGTGAAAGTGCGTCGTCTTCCAAGCAAGTCTCAAAACAAAGTTTATTGAAAATTACAAAACTTTTGGATCTTTCTAAATGACTATTGTGGGATATTCAGGCCAAAAGGTACGCCATGACGGAAACTCTTGGATATATTCATAAAGCAATATCTCAATGTCTGCTAACGGACAAAGTCAAGGAGAAAAATGTCAGCGAGATCAATCGTCCAGACATCCTGTTGTGTTCCAAGGGAGATAAATCTGATGGTGACAATGGTGGGAAGGACGACCAGACGGTCAAAGAAGATGGACATGATGGTGAAGACTATGGTGACGGAGGAAAACTTGACGTCTCTGACGAGTTCTTAGAACATACTGACGTAGAAATGATGTTGCTGAACGGTTCGGACTCTTCCTCCAAATCCAGGAAGGTTAGTAACTTGTTGTGGTTTTTCCAGTATGCCCTACAAAACGGGCTTGGTCAGGAGCGTGTTTTACCCCTTTGCCACAACACATTCTTCAACCAAGGGTGTCAAAAGCAAGTTTGGTTTTTTAATCATTCAATAAACATTGGTTTTTAATCTGTATGCCAACAAATGAACTGCCTTAACCCTTTCAACTCTAGCAGCCAGTTTACTGGACACACACTAACGCAATATATACCCGAGCAGCCAGTATACATCGTGTTAACGTCATACACTTTTACTTTTATTACTTGGAGTTCAGGGTATATGACGTTATATTTCATTTACACTCAGGGTTCAAAGGGTAAAATGAATTAGATCTTTGTGCGCATAATAAAAAAAATTTTGAAATGAATTGTAAGGTTTTTAATATAAATAGATCAAACAACTATTAAATTTTGTTTTCTAGGTATTATGGGAAGACCAACCACCGTTGTATATTTGTGACAAGCATGAAACTGGATCCCGCAGTTCAAGCTGTCTATTAAACCCCACCAAGTATATTAATGTTCCTGATGAATGGTATAGTCTACCAGTGGACAAGAAATATCTCATGCCCTATGTCTCTATGCCCGTCTTACGAGAGGAGCAGGAATTTGTTACGTATGAACTGAAGAGAATACCAGATTCACATGTAAGTTGATTCTTTGCTTCTGATCAGAATTTTGCAGCATAACAGCACTCTTTTTCAATTGAGGGAACTTAACATTGACAATCTCTAGCACACAGGGGGCCTGGTTTTATTGTCCCATAGTCAAAGTATATGACTCAAAGAGAAAATGCTTAGTTCTTTAAATGCCTTTCATGTTGTTACAGGTGCCTTTTCCGAACACTTTCGAAACGGCCAAAATGTTACTAAAAATAACCCAGATGTGTGAAGAAAAGGACAAGAAGAAAATCAAAGAATATCGCAAAAAACTCGTCAAGTGGGCGTTAAATTTTGCTGTCAACTCAAAACAGAGAGAAGAGTTCTCTGCCCTTAGTCAAGATTCTGTCAAAGAAAGTGCAGTATAAAAATTTTGTTATGTTAAGTTTTCACTTTAAGAAACTTGAAAGTTTTTAGGCAAAAAACTTTTAAATTGTTATAGTTTTTCTGAAAAAGATTAAGATTTTAATGGATCAAAATTTTATTTGTTGTTTTTCTAGGAATTCAGTCTCAGCTTATTATTGCTAAAATTTCTTAAATTTATTTTACATATCATTGTTTGAATTGAAACCCCCTAAAAATACTGGGAATTGATATTTACAATAAGAATTCAAGAAAGAAATATTTTGTTGAAAAGAAATTTTAATATCAAGCTTCCATTACTTTATTGGTTAAAAAAAAATTCTAATTTTGATTTTACATGTCATTTTTTAATTCAAGACAAAACATAAAAATAGTAGAAATTTACATTTACAGTTAGAAAATTAACCATATGAAAAAATTTTGTGGAAAAGAAGCTTAAATATAGCATCTATCAGTTTTTGAAACAGTTTTTGAAAAAAAAAATATCATTTCTTGATTTCGAACCAAAAAACAAAATAGTTGAAATGGTTAGAAAATTAACAAAAATTTGATAAAATTGTTGGAAAGAAGCTTAGATATAGTCTCTATTAGTTTATTAAAAAAAAATCTTCCCTTTTTTATAATGACTGATATTACCTGGATTATTTGAGACATGCTTTGTCCTTTTTTGATTGCGAGTTTTCTCTGTTAAATTCTGTAGTCTTCAGGTTTATGTGTAGAAATGTATGGTGATATTTGAAGTTGTTATTTTTGTTTGTTGATGAATACTGCTTGTTACAACTGGCATTGTCATATTGGTCAGAAGACCTTCGCTCACTAATATTGTGATGCCATTAAACTTTCAAAGTGCTAATAAATTCATACAAGTGCTAAAATGCCTCCAATACACTTTATAATTGTCATTTTTTTAAATTTATTATAGAAAAACTCCAGTGAAATCTGTTTCCATAGCAATAGAAATAAGTTGAAATTTTTATTTCAAATATAAGCTTGTCATATATTTATAAAACCCCAAACTCCATAGTTTAAATTTTTCTACAGGTCCATTTGGTTTGTGATTGCTAATGGTGTATTGAAAAGTTTTCTAATACAGAGGTCACATTACTTTCTCTCAGGTCCCTGTGTTTGCTTATTGTTGATGGTGTATTGGAGGCGTTTGTAAAAAAAACAATGAATCAAAATGTGAAATCAGGAAATCATTTATGATATTATTGTTATGTGTTTTGTAAATAGCTTAAGTTGGTGTTCTCGTGATCTTTTCTATGTAATTTGCATAATGATGTATTTTTATGTTCGAATTGTATACACTGTTTATTACTTGTCTAAAATTCTTTAAAGTGTTTAAGCAGCTGAGAATTTGAGAAGTATATCGTAGATTTGGCTCAAAAGTGGCTCAAAAACCACAAAAAGTTACACTATCATTTAAAACTTCCTTCGGTCAAAAATATTCTCAAAAATTGACCAATTAAAGGCTACTTCCAATTTATCAGCATAAAAAGTATCAAAATGTGTTCAATATATTTCAATCTACCTCTTTATTACTAACTTTTCTTCAAAATCTAAAATCATTTTCTGGGCCCTGTTTCACAAAAAAAACTTAAGTTTTCGAAAGTTTGGCAATTTTCATTTGAGGGAACTGGTAAAACTGTAATATGGATATAGTCTATTTTGTTGAAGCTTTGTGTTCTAAAGGCACCTTAGATAATAAATATTACTTACTGATTGAGTATTTAAAAAGGCTCTTGTTTTAACTTTACTTATATATATTCTAAAAGGCTTGAAAAATCATTCCCTCGTCAAGATGCACCAAAGAATTTGAATTATTCTGAAATCTGAAGGGATATGTCCATCTAGATATTTACCTTACTTATGTTGATAAAACTCGCTTGCAGCTATCTGAAGAATTTTTAAAATTCGCCAACCATTTCTCTAGCAGCTGGTAAAGTTTAGATTTTTTGATAAACGGAACAATGGTCATGTTTTGTGTTGACAAATGTAAATAGCCCTAATGTTTTCAATTCATAATATTGTCATGGAAATTCATGACAGAATAAATATTGTCATGGAAATTCATGAAAGATTAAATATTGTCATGGAAATTCATGACAGAATAAATATTGTCATGTAAATTCATGACAGAATATTGTCATGGAAATTCATGTCATGCTGGACAAAGTTGGTCCGATATTTTCTGATATTCTTTTTGTCACTGTGGATTTTGTCTGGGATATTCAATGTTGAATTTTTGAATTATTTTCCAATGTCAAAATATTTTGAGGATAAAAAGTTGATGAATTGGATTATTATTTTTTTTTTTAGAGCCAACTATGCCAAAATATATAATTAGGGAGATATTATGTAACTATGTTTAAATTGATTTTGGCATAGACAGCAAATTTTTGAAAATTTTAAAGCTAACTATGCCAAAATAACTAAATAGGGAAATATTATGTAACTATGTTAAAATTAATTTTGGCATGAATGGCAGATTTTTGACAATTTCGTAGCCAAATATGCCAAAATATATGAATAGGGATATATTGTGTAACTATATGAAAATAATTTTTGGCGTATTTTTGAAACTTTATGAATTGGTGAATATTAATGAGTTTGTAATGAAATGAATATATTAATATGATCATATCAAAGACATACTTTAAGATGTTCTGAATATTTTTGTAGTCTATATCATACCAGACTGTTTATTATTACATTGGAAAAGAGAGACTGGATGGTCTAGTATATTTTAAGACTTTGTTAAGGTTGTGGTTTGTTTACAACATGAATTTTGTTGTGAACTCTATTAAATTGTTAAACATTTAAAAGAATAAAGATCTTTCTTTTAGTTTCGTCTTATCTTTTTTTGGGCCCATTTCTTGTCGCTGATGTTTTTTGAAGGCCTGGAAAAATGTTTTGTTGTTTGAGTTGTAAAGGGAATGTAAAGGGCATGTAAGGAAATGTAAAGGGAATGTAAAGGTGTTCTATAAAACATTTTATGTGTAGTCTATACTGTAAGCATTGATTTGCACCATTCAAATTTTTAGTCAAGACGTCTGTGGTTTTTGCAATTTCATTAAAACTAAGTGTTTGGTGACGTCACTATTGCTGAAGATTCTAATATTATTTAAGGCTTTTTGAAATAGCGATGAATAAAACACTTGGTTTTAGTAGAATTACAAGAACCACTGAAATCTACTTGATGCTATCAGTGTCCCTGATACACATAAAGAATGTAGAAAATAAACCACTTTACAATCACTTTAAGGTGGTAAAATACAAGGTTGGCCTATGGTGTTTGATGCAGCTACTGTCCATGCAGAAATATTGAGACAAGAGAAATCAAAAGTCAATCTTGTTTGCATCTGAACCTTGTATTTCATAATAGATTACTTCCCTTGATCCAGTAATTTATTTACTAGACTCCTACATCCAGACGTTATTTGTTCTAGATTTTTATTGACGAGGCTGGATGATCGTGGCCAACTCACCTGTCCTACTTTATTTACCTCCCTTGCAAACATGGCAACTTGTAAACAACAACTTGTGAAGAAAAAAAAACTTATCGATTATTGCGTTTGCTATTAAGGTCATGATTGTGTTTTATTCTATGAATTGAAATAGTTTAAGCCGATTTAAGGAACTGCAATCGGCTGGTGATTTTTCGTCTTACCAATGCATTGACAAAGGTAGGATCGTTTTAGCCTGTCTTTCTTTTCTTTCAACTTCAACTTGTTCAAGGAAAAAGATTCGTCAAATAATGTCAAAAATGAAAACTGAAATAAAATTACAAAAGATAATCCCCTAATAGCCGATCACCTGACGGCAAAATGTCCGAAACGTCTACATTCTTATCTCATATTCTATCTGTCTCAAAATGTGATTATTTTTGACAGATGTCAGATTATATTAAGAAAAGGAAAAGCCAGTAGTTGCAGTCATTTTTTGATATTCAAACAGAGGTCATGTTTTGACCAGATCTGCTCTATTTTATATTAGGGAATCTACGATCCTTAAATTTAACAATGCCTTTTTATCACTCCGGTATGCCGGTTGGCAGCTGTAGGCGGTTGGCTTTTTAAACCCACCCATCTTGCTATACCTTTTTTGAATGACATAAGGCCTATTTAAGCATAGGCCTAGTCTTCAAGTTTTATTGTCACTAGGCTAGGCGCTATATTTTTATTGGATAGCCTAAATAATCATTTAATTTAAGCTTACTGTGTCAGGCCTACTGACAAATGTTTCTTGCTTGATTAAGCCTATATTGTATATAAATAGATTTCATGAAATACTAGAGTCTTTCAGCCATCATTTTAATTCTTAATTATAAGATTCATTCATTTATCTAAAATGAAATACAGGTACAATTAGATCCATTCATTCATTTATTCATTCATTCATTCATTCATCTGAAATGAAATAAAATTAAATCTACGCATCAGTCATTTTCCATTTTCATTCATTCATTCATTCATTCATTCATTCATTCATTCAAACAATCATCTATCCTATATGAAATATTGATCTGGATCTGTCTATTGTTTACTCTGTGTTGATAAGCTAACTATACTCTACTTTGAAACATCATTCTATATTTTTGATTCCAATTATTCTCACTGAATCTACTAAATGTCAGGGATCAATACCTCTCTTTATAATCCATCTATTTTATTATAAAAATAACATAATTGAGATTTAGATTAATAGATTGCAGTATTGGTCTTGTTTTGATAGAAAATAATATAGTTTTATATTGAGGCATATCCATTAAAGGGACAGGTGTGTCATTTTGTCGTGTTGATTTTAGTCTTGAATATATGTAAATAGTCTTCAGAACTAGAACTGTAATTCCTTTAAAAATATCTCAAACTAGGAATTTTACTCACTATTTCTATATATATATTTTCTATATATCATAGAGTATCTTAAATTGACGAGTCGTCTTTTTAACATTCAAATGCAGATAATTCTGGACACACATGGATTTGAAGGTTCAAATTTCGACTGTGAGCTGTGCACACTATTACTGATTAGCTCAGCTGCTCTAAAAAATTCCAGTTTCTGAGACTAAAGTATGATTGGTCAACAAATGGCCCTGCCCCTTTAAGTTTAACATTCATTTGTTAGTAAACTTATTTGCTTATTTTATAAAAAATTTGTTTCAAAATCAAAAATAGAATGTGATGTTATTTCAAATATTGCGCAAGTTGCCTTCAGTTCCGGTAATTGATCGATCAGTCACTTCTTTGGCTCACTCCATAATTTCTCATCCAACTTTAAGCTTGTAAGAAATTGGAAATTTAAACTATTTGTTTTATGTTTTTTTTAATCAACTGATTTTGGAATCTTTACAACATCATTTGTTTTGTCAAGTACAAAAAATGGTGGTCGTGGGTTCATATCTCAGTCAGTATGTGAAGTCCTCCGGTCAATCCAGCTGTAAATTGGTACTGATAATCCGGAAATGATCAATGCCAAGAGGTTTGGTCAAGGACCAGCTGGTAGAAAGGATCCTTGTGAACCTAAGTTGTTATCCTTGTAAAATCAATGCAAAGACCAGCTGGTAGAAAGGATCCATGTGAAAATAAGTTCTTATCATTATGAATAATGGTTGTTTCTTTGGTAATTGTCTTGAAGTCTAATGAGCCATATCTTCTAACCCTGTTTTTATTTAAATGAAATTTTCAGATGATTAAGTGACACAACATCTACTTTATAAAAGTCTGCTAAAGCTAAAGTAGAAAGAAACACAAAATGGAGAATGAAGATTTATATGAGCTGATAGAAGAAGAGGAGAATGAAAACGATACGGAAGATTACAGCAATCCAGGATTCAAAGAGACGGCACTAGTCGGAACTGCTGGCGCCAAAATGAAGAAAAGCAAACATAAGAAAAAGAAAAAAGTTACGTCTAAAATGACACATTTTGAACGACGTTATTCCAAACTTGCCTTGGAACAAGTGTTGATTCCGGAACGCAAGCGGATAGATTTCGTGTTAGTTCATCCGACGTTGAAAGTTGAAGCGAAGGAAAAAGAAAAAAGGAAATCAGAAAGAAATGAACATCATCGGAACGAGTTTGAGAATTTGTTAATCTCTGAAGGATTTTCGATTCAAGAGAATGTGATTGGTCAATTAACATATAAAAAGTTACACTGTCCCTTTAAAAGATTGTGTTATGAGGCAGAAAAAGTGAAACTAGAAATGCCGTTGAAAGATGTAATTATAAATATATTTGATATTTCTTACCTTCTTACTAAAATGTAATCACATACACCAAATCATCTTCACAATGTCAAGCTATTACAAACTTCCTACTCATACCTTGACTGCAAAAGCCACTATTCTTGTATCATGGAATGTAGCTATTTGATTGGATTGTGCACCAGTGAATACAACCAATCAGAGGCCTCAACAGAAAGTCGATAAACAATATGCCATAATAATTATAGTAAGTCTGTTAAGAGCTCTGATTGGCTGTATTGGATGGCATATAATCCAATCACATCGCTACATTTCATGATACAAGTAAGGTGATGTGTAATCAAATGCCCCAAATGACCTTCAGCAAAAGCTCTTCTGCTTTTAAGGTGCCCTTCTATATTTTTTTATCAATGTTTTTTTAGTGTGGAAATCCGGAAGAACCAGAATCAGGTTGTATCGGAAAGTTTATAGAACGCCATTTAGAAACAGACAATGAAGGTAGGGAGAATTTCAAACTGTAGATCAGGGATGCTGACAAGTTGCCAGTCAGTTGGATTGTCGTCTGCTAGCACAGTGGAATAGCTTAGTTGGTAGCGAGTTGGATTGTCCTCTGCTACGACAGTGGAATAGCTCAGTTGGTAGAGAGTTGGATTGTCGTCTGCTAGGACAGTGGAATAGCTTAGTTGGTAACAAGTTGGATTGTCGTCTGCTAGGACAGTGGGATAGCTCAGTCAGTAACTAGTTGGATTGTCGTCTGCTAGGACAGTGGAAGTGTTCAGTTGATAGTGAGCTAACAGTCTGCTAAGCAATAAGGTCCTATGGGTTTGAAATTTGAATTCTCCCAAGGGTAGAAAAATCCTGATGCCACAACCAGTGCCTCCAAGAGTCTGTCTGGTTTTGCTTTTAGCCCTTATGACCTACTTTTTTTTTTAATTCAGTTGATTTTGTGAGTTCTCAGTTTTACATGGATAAAATAGAAATGTACCAAAACCATCAGGATCCATCCAATTTCTTCCGTCCTTCCTTACGCTCCTTGCTGGTGAGTAAACACATTCTTTAGAATGCTAAAAAGGTATTGCCCAGTTAAAAGAGCCTAGTGAACACCTGGTATTCTTAAGAATATTCTCATTCCTGACCTCAATCCTGATCACTGACTAAAAATATCAGTTTATTACTGCTTAAAGGGATTGTAAAGAGGTTTTCTAAATTTTTTATGTGTATCTGGGACACTGATAGCATCAATATGAACCATTCCAATTTTCAATCAGACGTTTGTGGTTCTTGCAATTCCACTAAAACTAACGCATATTATGACATCACTAGAGGGGAGCTACATATAATAATAGATATTAATAGTAGCCTAGTTTTAGTGGAATTGCAAGACGTCTAATTGAAAATTGGAATGGTGCAAATTGAAGCTATAAGTGTCCCCAATACACATAGAAATTTAGAAAACCTCTTTTACAATCACTTTAAATGGACTTGCATTGACTACAGACTCCTATCTTTAAGTGATCTAAGATCTCTAAAACCTCTAATATTTTGGCTCCTAACTGGCGAATACTGTCAACTTGACAGCCCTGATAGACTCACAAACTAAACGATAAATTATACTTCAGGTAAATCATATTTTAATTAACCTTGATATACGAACTGAGCAAGAGAAGATTGAGGGTTCGAAACCAGACGACGATGACCCCCAGTCAAAGTTTGACACCATCATGAACTATATGGCACCTCGAGAATCTCACAGCCAAGAAAACGAGGAGAAAAACAGAAAAGTTCTCAAGAAAAAAGGTAAATTGGTTGATGTGATCTAACTTACCTAATGCTAGCTGAGTCACTTCATAGAAAATTTAGCCAATGCTGATTGGTTGAAAATGTTGTTTTGTTAAATATTGAATATAAATATTGATCATTGGTCGTGTAATCAAAATCTAAAAAAATTCATTTTTCAGGTCTGCCATATTTATTGATGAAGGGAGTGTACACAGACTGTATGATTCTTCACGAAAATTCTCAAAAACGTAAAACTCAGGAGCACGGAATTGACGAACATTTTGATGAGGATGACGATTCCAATTCCAATGTGTCTGTCAAACTTGAGGAAGATCCACGCAAAGAGCTGGACGACACTTGGTCTAAATTTTTCAAGTTTCAACCCTTATGGAAAATTCGTAATTATTTTGGTGAAAAGATTGCATTTTATTTCGCGTGGTCTGGATTGTTAACTACGTCGCTATGGTTACCATCATTATTAGGATTGATTATATTTATATATGGATTGGTTATGAGGTAGGACAAATTCCATTTTCTAACCCTTGGAACTCAGAGTGTGAATGAAATGAAACGTCATGTACCCTGAACTCCCAAGTAATATAACTGTTAAAGGGACGATTATAGCACCAATTTGCATCTTTCCAATTTTCAATCAGACATCTGTGGTTCCTGCAATTCCTCTAAATGTATTTTTATTTTTTTCTTCAGTGTGTCTAAAGAAGAAAAAGTTGTATTACAGAACGGTACAGTTATAGATGAGTATGTAGTCTTTTATATCCAGTGTAGCCTCTTATATCCAGTGTAGCTTCTTATATCTTGGAAGCAAAGACTGAAGACTAGGGGGTGTGGTGGAATGGTCTAGGACTGCCCTGACTTTTGCTCCCCTCATTTTCAAATATTTCTCATTTTAATTGCCTTTTTAGCCTCCTTTTGACAATTTAATGACCCCTGCTGGACCCCCTCTTGTTTTTATTTTTGAAGTTTTTGACATTAGAATCTATCTGATGTATTTCTATGTATATGTACAGGATAAAGAATGCTGTAGTAGGAGTGTTAGATCTAATTAAGGAAGCTTTTGATAACGATGCCACGCCATATTTTGGTTTGATTATCTGTTTGTGGGGTATGTAACTAGATATTTTCTGAATGATCTTTATCACTTTTTAGAATAAAAATCTGACTTTAGTTTCATAAACAATTACATAAAAAAATATAAATAATCAGTCCTCTAAATATTTGCTTCACCAGCTGATAGAGCTCAACATTAAGAAAACTATATTTCTTTTTGCTCATGAGCTACCATTCAGGCCACGTATTCTCGAAACGATCTTAGCGCTAGGATATCCTAAGTTCTTATCTTCTAACATTGATTCTAGGACATTCTCGTGCCAAGAGCGTTTCGAGAATATGTGACCAGAAATGATCAAATAATGCCATGTATTCTATATTGTTTGTTTTTCAGGAACAATATTCCTGGAAGCCTGGAAGCGGTTGAATTCCAGACTAGCTTATGAATGGGATGTGGAAGATTTTGAATCAAAAGAACCAGACAGACCTCAATTTTATGGAACAACTACAACAACAGTAAGAGATTTGTTCATTTTTAGTATTTTGAAGTACTGAAGCTTCATATAGAGGGAAGGGAAGAACTTTCTTACAAAGATAATAACTTAAGTTAACAAGGATATTGTCGATGGTCCCTGACCAAACCTCTTGGCATTGATCTTTCCCAGATTATCTGTACCCATTTACAGCTAGTTCGATGGGAATAATAAGTTAAGATTACTAATACTAGGTCATCATATTTTCAAATGCTGACCGAGTTTAAAACCCACCATTACAGTTGAGTTTATGCCTAAATGTAATACTGCAATTTGGATTATGAAACTAGAGTCATACATAACTGTTGAATACCATTAACATCATAAACCTCCAGTCACACATTACTGGTGAATATCATCAACTCAACATCCCTGATGCTGTTTATTATTTTGTAGGATCCAGTGACTAGTGAAGAAATCTGGTTTTACCCATTTAAACGCAAACTCATGAAAATATTTGCGTCAAGTTCTGTTTTAATTTTTATGGTACGTATATTTTTAAAAAAATAATTTTGGGGTAATAGAGTCCACATAGCTAATATAGTTTATTTGGTATTTGAGTTTGTCAACTTGGTATCACTTTCAGAGAGTTCACATAGATAGTTATGTTTATTTGGTATTTAGGTTTGTCAACTCAGAATCTCTTTCAAAAAGTTCACATAGCTAATAATGTTTATAAAGTACTTCATCTCTTTCTGAGAGTCCACATATGTTTATAAATATGACATTCCTTTAAGAGAGTTCACATATCTAATAATGTATATTTGTTATTTATTGTAGATGTTGTTGGTATTAATTAGTGTGACGTCTGTTATTATTTACCGTGTTATTATTGATGTTGATTATTGTCCTGGTATTACTGGTACTGAATGTCTTCTATTGACCACCGTTATATCATCTTTATTTAACGCTGTTTCTATTCTTATACTCGGCAAGGTAAGGGTGTAAGGGTTTGTATATTTGGTAGACATAGTATATGGTATTAATTTTCCATGAAGTTCAGGTATCCCGAAATGTTCGTTTGATTTTGATTTTGTGATGGGACAATAAACCGAGCCACCGTGTGCTACAGGCTGTGCACGTTAAAGATCCCTCAACAGTTGGAAATCGAACAAGAGCAGGCTAATGCCGTTGTCCTGGCAAAATTTCCCTCACCCTGCATGACGTTGCCCGTCTTCATTAGCACACATGGTGCAGAAAAGTAGGATATGAAACTCCATACATTTCATTTCACTTCATTTCCAAAGATTTAAAGAGGGAGTATGTGTGATTTGATGCATTCTTGAATATCTGTATTATAGTCTAAAAGCAAGATTAAAATTGGAAGTTCTGGTAAAAAAATCTAAAAGGTCGACTAATTTGTATTAATCACGTTAATTTGATAATTTGAATTTCAGTTGTATGATAAATTGGCAGTATTTCTGACAGAATGGGGTAAGATTATATTATTAAACATTCACATCTCTTAATGTCCGTCTGCTTGCCCATTGATCCATTAGTTCACATATCTGTAATATTGAAAATGATATTGTAGAAAGTTTCTTACTAAAAACACAAGGGTGGCACTTGATTGGAGAGTTCTGAACTGATTCCGTCTGTTACAATTCTTTCCTCAATCAGGACATGTCACCTTTGAAATTTTCCCATGTACTTCTTTCTCCGCCATTTTGAATTCTGTCTACACTTACTATTTTTTCGAAGCACGCGAACCCTGTTCCAACTTGTTTCATTAGTTGATTCCAAGAATGCTGAACATACAGAACATCAATCAAGCGACCCCTAGATTCATAGCATGTTATATAATTCTTATAAGTTTATATTGTTTATTTTAAAATTAATTAATAACTTTAATTTTAGAGAATCACCGAACACAGACGGGCTATGATGATTCGTTGATTATAAAATTATTCGCCTTCCAGTTCGTCAATAGTTACGCTTCCTGTTTTTATATTGCTTTCTTCAGAGGAGTGAGTTGTTCCTATTATTATATATTTATTTATTATTTATTTATTTATTATATATTAATTAATTAATTTATTTATTTATTTATTTTTTATTATTTTATTTTATTATTTTATTTTATTTTATTTTATTTTTTATTTTTTTTTTATTTTTATTATTTCATTTTATTTTATTTTTTGTTTTGTTTTGTTTTGTTTTGTTATTTATTTTCATTCATTGATTCATTCATTGATCATTCATTCATTCATTCATTCTGTCTATTGTAGAGGTTTGATAATATAGGTTTATTGGGTAGAGGAGAAGAATATAAAGATGATTGTCAAGGAACGTGTATGTCTCAGTTATCTTTTCAAGTTTTAGTTTTGATGTTTGTTAAACCACTGCCTAAACTACTAAAAGATATTATTATTCCGTAAGTATAAGTTTCCTCTATCTGGATTGACAAGGTGTTCGAGGATATTGAATAACTCAACCTTTGATTTGGTTGGACATCTCAACTACCAGCTGATTCTTGGCCAAAACTTTCAGTAAAATTTGTTACAAGGATAACAATGTAGGTTCACAATGATTGTTTCTATTAGCTGAACCATGACCAAACCTCTTGGCATTGATTTTTCCCGCATTATTACCCGTTTACAGCTGGGTCAAAATTGAAAAATGACAAAAAATATTTTGGATATTAAGGTATATAATTTGATGATAATTTCTGTTTTTATGTTTGAAGGAACGTAAAGCCGTAAGTATTCAGATAACCAAATGATAAATATTTAAAATCACTATGTTCACGAATGATGTACTTTTTCACAGATGATTGCAGTGACACAGTAATAGTCCGTCTGTCTGTCCTAGACACTTCAACTGGTTTAGCTCTTATTCATGCATGTATCAGGGTCACTTATAGCCCCTTTTTGTACCATTCAGATTGGGAAGAGGTTATCTTAAATTTGTATGTGTAACAGGGACACTGATATCTTCAAATTGCACCATTACAATTTTAAATCTGATGTCTGTGGTTCTTGTGCAGTTCCACTAAAACTAACTGTAGTATGACATCACTAGTGCCGTTGATACACATACAAAGACTAGAAAACCAGAATGGTGTAAATAGAAGCTATAAGTGTTACTGATACACATACAAAGACTGGAGAATCAGAATGGTGTAATCCAATTCCAAATATATTCAAACCCTTTGCATGTATCATATAAATACAACATACTGCATGTTACCATATATCAATATACTGGACACATTAAAAATAACACCTTAAATTCATTGAAAATATACACGTGGATTAGTGTCAGAAACATTATAATTTTAAAACACTTTTCCTTAATTTTATAGATAAGGATATCAAAGAAGCACTAGCCGTGGCTTCAGAATTTCACCTTGATATTTTATTCAAAAATTTTATATAATAATTATTTTGAACATTTTGAAGTATCCACTTACGTTGATTCGTTTTCTGATTACTTATTTCAGATTTCTTCGTAAATTATGGGCGAAACGTCCAGCCTGCCTCCATTTTAAATGCTGTTGTTGCTGTCGGCGCCAGAATAAAGTTGAGGAGAATTCAACGGGCGTTAAACCCAGTGGAAACTCAGGGAAGATTTTACATAAAGATTTTTTGGAACGAGAGCGACAGAAGCCAAGTCTTGGTGATTTTACGCTTGGTGAATATACAGAAAAAGTTATCCAGTACGGATTTCTTATGGTAGGTCATCTTAATATGTCATGCTATGAAAAACTGTGTCTAATACCTTGACTGCAATAATCACTATTCTTATATCACTGAAGTTTGTAAATGTAGCGTTTTGATAGCATGTATGCCAGGGAACACAGCCAATCATCACCCTCGACAGATAGACTGTAAATACTAAGCCATAATGTTAACAGTCTTGTGAGGGCACTGATTGGCTGTAATTACTGGCGTACAATCCAACCAAATCACTGAATTCCATGATACAAAAGGTGGCCAGTTGGCTGTAATTACTGGCATACAAATTACTGCATTCCATGATACATAAAAGGTTGCTAGTGCAGTCAAGGTATAGACACACTACTTAATAGCTTGACATTGTGAAGATCATGAGAGGTCGTGAATAATTCTCTTTTCAAAGCATTTAGGTCTTGATTTTAAGCCAAAAGACACAAAAACCAAGATCTTTCTTAGCTTGTGTTGAAAATCAAGGCGTTGTTTTGATATTGAAAATAAGATTACAGAAGTCTTTTATTTTAGTTATTTGCTGCCTCGTTCCCACTGGCACCAATCTTAGCTCTATGTACTAACTTGGTAGATTTGAGAGTTGATGCTAAACGTATGTTATGGTGGTACCGTAGACCAATAGCTTTTATTGCTCAAGATATCGGTAAGTTAGTTTCCATGTACTAGTTTATCATTTATTTTTGGTGTACATCATTTTTAATCTTTTACATTGATATTGAATTGTATGAGAACTGGATATCAGATTTAGATTTTAAAAAGTGATACAGACAGAAGTAATCTTAAATTGAGCTCCATCAGCTGGTAAAGTTAAGGTTTATCACTATAAATTTGAGGTCTTTGAGCTGGTAATGTAATTATTTAAATGACTATACAGATAGCTGTAGTTAGGCTTTATCCGCTTTTTAAGTTCATGATTAACTTCGTGTGAAACCTGTCTTATTCGATAATGATAATTAACTTCGTGTGAAACCTGTCTTATTCGATAATGATAATTAACTTCGTGTGAAACCTGTCTTATTCGATAATGATAATTAACTTCGTGTGAAACCTGTCTTATTCGATAATGATAATTAACTTCGTGTGAAACCTGTCTTATTCGATAATGATAATTAACTTCGTGTGAAACCTGTCTTATTCGATAATGATAATTAACTTCGTGTGAAACCTGTCTTATTCGATAATGATAATTAACTTCGTGTGAAACCTGTCTTATTCGATAATGATAATTAACTTCGTGTGAAACCTGTCTTATTCGATAATGATAATTAACTTCGTGTGAAACCTGTCTTATTCGATAATGATAATTAACTTCGTGTGAAACCTGTCTTATTCGATAATGATAATTAACTTCGTGTGAAACCTGTCTTATTCGATAATGATAATATTCCAGGGAAATGGTATGATATTCTGTATTTTGTAAATATAATTGGAGTCATCACCAATGCCTTTCTAATTGCCTTCACATCTAGCTGGGGTAAAGATTACACCCTCTATGAAAAACTTTGGGTTGTCATTGGTTTTGAGGTAAGATCTAATATTTTCTTCCACTAAACTTTGATTGATATCAGTGTATCTAGTATATAATTGATCAATCACTAAACTTGATTAAGCCCCATTAACTTACATTATAATAACAAAATATTTCAATGTAAAATAAGGGAGCTGCGGTGGCTCAGTGAGTTAGATGCTTGCTCTCTAACCTGAAGGTCCAGGGTCCAATCCTGGCATAGGTCAAGATAATACCTTCGGATTTTTCAACCCGGTTTCCCCCAGTCAGTGATGCAGGTACGAGGTGCTGACATGGAAAAAGCGTCTTTCGGATGGGACAATAAACCGAGGCCCCGTGTGCTACAGGCTATGCACGTTAAAGATATCTCGACAGTTGGAAATCGGAAAAGAGAAGGCTAATGCCGCTGTCCTGGCAAAATTTCCCTCATTGCACCCTGCATGGCATTGCCCGTCTTCATAAGCCCACATGGTGCAGAAAAGTAGGACGTAAAACTCCATTCATTTCATTTCATTTCAATGTAAAATAAAATGGTGCTCAATAAATAATGATTTATATGATATATAACTAGAAATATTCTAATAGTATCTCTATAATAGTTTTGTGTGTTGATGTTTATATTTTCCAGCATATAGTGTTTACATTGAAATACGTCATGGCAGCTATGATTCCTGACACTCCAACTGAGGTTCATCTAGCTATTAGAAGGGTAGGTTTTATTTTATTATTGTGTATGTACTGTAAAGTTAAATTCGTATGTCATTGGATTTTGATTTTCAATTTGGATTGATGAATTCAAGTTAATCTATAGTAGACTTTCAATAGTGGATTATAAATAAGTTTGAACATAAAGAAGTGAAATCCATTTGACCAGATCTTTAAGTTTATTGGTAGGCCAAGAACAAACAATGCAAAGATGTTAAACAGATCTTAAGTTATAGTTAGATTGGCACATATCCATCGTTTCTTTCCCAACTGACTCTGGTGTTCAAATTTGGAAAAGTTATCAGGGAACTTGTATCTGACTCTTCCTGTCATAATGATTATTTTTGCTAATTTCAGGAGAAATACCAGATTGCAAAGAAAATGGAGGACAGTCGAAGTAAAAAAGAAATAAACTACAGACAACTTTATCCTGGTTCAAGGTTTGGTTCTATTTTGTAGCTTCTTGAGTCTTTATTTTCTGAGGGTAGGAAAAGGTTCAGCACCACGTGTCAGGTGTTGGGGCAGTACATCCCCTCCCCTAAGGGTTCTCATGAACACTTTTGATGTCCAAAACTATCACATCCTCCAACTGACCAATTAAAATGATATTTTCAGGTCTCGTTTGCCGTCTGATAATCCTGACAACTCAGAAGATGCTAATTTCATGATGGTCCAGAGTAATCCAAACGCAGACGTCAATAACATCAATGAGAGCAATAGAGCCCGATCAGGGAAAGATAACTCCATTAATGATGAAGGAACAGAAGAACTATCCCAGAATACACCATGGTATATGACTGACCATTATCCACCTTCTTCTTCCTCTCACACCAGGTGTGTTTCTTTTCACTAAGTTTTCTCCTCTTGTCAATCTGATTAAAATACCATCTGTTCAATGTCAAGCTATTACAAAATAAGTATGACGTTTGTAATAGCTGGACATCTTGAAGATGACAAAATCTAAAACATGACAAGTTGACCACCCATGGTCGAAAGAAATTAATATTGAAACCATCTAGATCATTATTTCAATCAGATTGAGTTTTTTTTTTTTTTTTTTTTCATTTTTAAGATTAGTTTCTCAAAAAACTTGACCATTGAAAAAAGTCAAATGGGTCATCAGAAAGACCCTTAATGGCTTTTTGATTTTAGTTGTTTTCTTTATTTTCATATTTTGACTGCACTTCTTTAGCAGTAATGTCAGTAGCAAAACTGATTTTATTTCCCTTTTTAGTTTTTGCTCTTAATCTGCAATATTCTTTAAATTCCTTCAATTGAGTTAATTTCATGGATGTAAACCTCCATTTTGTATTATTTTTAGTTTATTTTATATAGCTTTACAGTAGATTTTATTTCGTCTTTTCGTGTAAGATATTTTTTTTCCGTTTCAAGTTTTCACTAATTGCTTTCGCATGATGGTTGTTGTAGTCCTTAATTTTTTCTCTTACCTCTTAGCTTTTTGTTGTTGCATGTACTCTCTGTTCCACTATAATTTGATGCAAGGGGATTATTTTTTTGGCTGGTTTCTTGGAATATTTGCACCCATTTCTTTGGCTGATGGGTTTTTATATTTTGCTTAACTCTTCTACTAAACCATTTCAAAACATTATTTGACAAAAGTTTTTTTTTTGGCTGAAGAGGTGATTGTGTGTTGGCTTTTGAGACATATTTTCTTGAATATTTATCATAATTTTCCTTTCTCTCTATTTCAGACTTTCTTTTGTCAAAAAATCTAATAATTTAGCCAATCATGCATGTTTTTATCTAGTTTTAATCCACATTTGAATTTTTGCTGTATGAAAATTCACCAAGACTTTGATGATTCTGTTTGAGCTTGGCTTGTCTACAATTTAATACATTGTTTTATTTTATACCAGCACCCATGTCTATCTTTCTGTTTCAGAGAAAATACATTGGCACACGGCAGAAAGAATTCAGATGAAGATTGTAAGCTTTTATTTTCTTGTTTCATTGGACATCTTTAAAGATGGGTTTCCTTATTTTTTCAGTGTCAAGCAAACTATTTGATTAGTTGGTGTTTCTAATGAATTATCATGTATTCTTAATCATATCATTATGTTCTTATTGCATATAATTAAAAGTTTTAACCAATCGTAAATGTCCATGTATGTACTGTCTGGATAAACAAATAAAAACTTTTTGACCTTTCTTGATCGGGTCACTCATTGGAATTCTGCTGGTAATTCTGTTCTAATTTAGCTAATTATGAATTAATTATAGACATGTGAGACAAACTGGTAGCTTTACTTTCTATCCATATGAGTATTAGCATTTTCATTTTCATAAATAAAAATAAGGGAAGCCATCTTTAAAGGAAAACCACCTCCTAAAAGACTTTTAATTTAAATGGTCAATAATATTCATCAGTGGAATTCAACTCTTCCTCTCCTAGAGGAGCCAAAAAATAAGACAACTCTATTTCGTTTTATTTTATGTAGTTTTATCTTAAAAAGTTTTTTATTGATTTTTTTTTTTAGATGGCGTCCATTTTCCACCACCAACACCTCATCTACCAAACGTTGAAGATTCTTATCCACGGCATTCGGAGGCGTAGAAATGCCACGTTTCATTCTAGCTGCCAAAATAACTCCATGACATTAAAATAGTGCTTTATTCTCATTAACCAGTAGCCTTGAAGTCCAAAAATATCCACACATCTGATTGGTCCACATTTTTGTGATCATTTCAACCTATCAGATGGTCAAGTATCAAGTAACAACATGTACATCAAGTCGCCTTATTTTCAAAAACTCAACTTAAAATGATTTTAGTGTTCCAGTCATCTGATTGGTCAATATTTTTGTGATCATTTCAACCAATCAGAGGGTCAAGAAAAGACATTTTCCAGTCTTTATTTCCAAAAACTAAACTTTTGATTGGTCAATCACTAAAATTGATTTTGAATTTACTTTTAAACTCAACAAGCTAGACTTAATCTGTCAATTACTATATACTGGTGTGTATTTCGCTTGTTTATATTGGAAGTCCAGGATTTTTTGGATTGTTTTCTTAAGCGATTGATTTTTACAGAATTTTGATACCTCCTTTTTTAAAGAATAAATATCATATACATGTAGTTAGATTTTACAACAGGGCAGCAAAATTTTAAAATTTTATATGATGTTTTTTAGAATTTACCGATTATTTTTTTTTAGTATTAGATTTTCAATGCATTGATGAAAACCTTTGCACATTACTTTTTTTAAAGCAAATTTTACTGATTATTTTTGATGAGAATTAGAATAGTAGCCTGAAAATAGTTTGTCTACTGATTGACTTTAAGTTGATAGAAATAGAAACATGATCATAGATTATCTATTAGAACTTGTTTTTAAAGAGGGCAATTCTTAGCTTTTATTTATGTTACATGGATATGTTTTGTCCATGATCCGTGCATATTCTGTTGTGGTTAATTTCTGATGTTTTATTTTTTGTATTTATTCTTGTGTATTTACTGTGATATATTGTTATCAATCCGTCCAGTTTTTTTATAGAAAATCTCAAATCTTACTGCTTTGATTTCAAATTGTATATTTTATTGTAATTTATTCATAATCTGTGATATTCAAAGTTACTTTTGGAAACTGTGGGGGTGGGGCCGTTTTTTAACCATATCACATCGACACAGTTTGTGCTTTTGTATTTTGATGTTTATTATAAGTTGAAATACAAGAGTACGAACTTGATATATAAATCACTATAGTGTTATAGAAAGTACGACAATTAGATCTTTGTTATGTAAGTTTTAGTGACTGCATAATGCTCATTTTTTAAATGAATTCTCATTATCTTATATATTATTTCTTTTTTATTTGCCAAAACTGTAATATTCAACAAATAGGCTAAGCCTTTAATTCCTTTTGAATTTGACCGTTTGAAAAGTAAGGGGGGAATCGAAGATGCAGTCTTTGATGGAAAAAGAAAACCACCATCCGGGTATGACAACTAATTGCGTTGAAATAAATCATGAAATACACATATTAAAACTTAATATTTTGGTGTCTGCTTTATGCCAACTTGTTGATTGTCTACTATCCTTGAAAACATGATAATGATACGAAAATTCAATATTATGGTGTCTGCGTTATGCCAACTTGTTGATTTTCTACCATCGTAGAATAGCCAACTTATTAATGTTCTAATCGTGGAATACACGATATGGCAACCCAATAATATGGTGTAGGCGTTATGCCAACTTGTTTTTTTTGGGGTAGGCCTAATTGGTTGGTAGATGACAAGTTAACGTTCACTTCCAGCGGATGCTGATATCGCAAACTACGACGTAGGCCTAAGTAAGAAGAGGCGCGTTTTATATTCGCAATGATACGACAGAGTAGATATGAATTATGTATATACTATCTACAGGGAGATGAGCTGTCTCGGTGAGTTAAGCGCTTGCTCCAAACTGGAAATTCCAGGGTTCAATTCCGGCACATGCCGAGGCAATACCTTCAGATTTTTCAACCCCTCCTGCCAGTGATGCATGTCGTGGTAAAATGTCTCAGGACGATAAACCATGGTCCTGTATGCCACAAGCTGTGCTCTGCACATAGTGGCTATCAAATGTTTGGGAGAGTATATATAATAAATAGGACCCCGACGTTTTCTACGGTCTAGTGCTTATCTAGATTGGAAATATTTGAAAAAAACGAGAGTTATTCTATCATGCTGGTTTTTTTTTATCAATATAGGCCTATTGTCGGAATAAAATTTTGTCTTCATTTAATCAGGTCCGAAATCTTCTACTTTTTCATCTTCCATCTTTCATCTTTACTCTTCATCATCTTCTTCTGTAAATAAATAATGATAATATTAACATCATTTAAAAATAGAATATCCAGATCCTACTAGAGGCAATGATTTTAACGTTGATAGGGGGTCCACAGGCTATGCTTTCACTTTGTAAATTGACAAAACGCCACTGATTGGTGCGCAGCAAGATTCTCGTGTTGACACACGCCCCTCCTTAAAAAAAACCGCTCAAAATTAGAAATAACTTACCGGAAGAGGCAGTTACAAAAAAATATTCAGACACACTTATCTCGCCATTGTCTGTAAAATAAAAACGAGAATATATTTAAAATTCCGGTCCGCTCATAGGATAATAAAATACCAAGATATTTTACAGATGTGAACAAACAGAGAAAAACATTTGTATCCTGACCAATTAGGTTGTTAATCAGTGGACAGAATACCTCTATAATTCAATAAATCTATAAAACTAAGTAATAATTCATTAAACCAAGTAATTTTGAAACATGCTTGGAAGTGTTTTTCAATGGATAGATCTTATATAGATATTCTATTCATTAGTCATGGCAACTGGTAAGACCAACCGATGAATAATATACTCTTGTTGACCCAGTTAGAGACTAAATTTTATGTCTATTCTATCTATATCTTTAAACCTTGAATTAAAAAATCCAGCCTGTTACTTACTATCCATGTCAAAATTTTCTATGAACTCGGCCAATTCATCGGCAGAAACACCAAGAACAGATTGAATTTCATCTTCAGATAAAATACCATCTGCAGCAGCGGCATTGAATGCAGCTTCGAACTCGTCATCTTTGATCTCTCGTTTACCCCATCGTCTGAAAAATCTACCAACGGCTCTGACTGCTCTTCCGACAGCTCTGACACCTGTTTCAACTTGTCTTACGACTGGAATTCTCCTGGCTACAGGTTCAATACGAGTCCAAAATCGTCTCCAGGACTCGGTTTCCTGATTCATCATCATTACCATGGCAACCAGCAAAATAACGGCAACTTTCATTCTACAGTTGAAAAATTTCGATTATCATTTAGAAGTTTCAATGGAGAGGAGGTCTAAAATTTCCTCGAAATTTGACCAATTTGAAGTTCGTCTTCAACAAGTATCATTTAACAAAATTTGATGTGGATTGTCAGGGAAATGAAAATAGAGGTGAAGTTGTCGTATCTTCAAATCCAAACTAAGCAAGTAGTTCGTCGACAACTACATTAACGAGATTGTTAATTTTGTGATGTGTATCAGGGACAATGATAGCATCAATCAGACGTCTGTGGTTATTGCATTTCTACTAAAACTCGTCGTCCTGAAGGGCCTTATTTAATGTAAGCATATTTTGCGACGTCATCATACGCCTATCTTTTGTGGAATTGTAGGAACCAACGACGTCTGACTGAAAATTTGAATGGTTCGAATTGATGCTATCAGTGTACAGATACACATACAAAAGTTAAAAACCCACAACCCCTTTAAATAAATGAATAAATGAATGAATAAATGAATGAATATAAATGAATTAAATAAATGAAATAAAGTTTCTACTCACTTGAATGCTGTAGATAGTCAACTGTATGAGATATCAACTGAATTATCATCGGTTTTTCTCTGTATTTATAATCAAATTCTGTCAAATTTAATTAATCTAATTTCACTCAACATGCCTTTGACTTCAATTGTTCTTTAGAAAAAAATGTGAGAGGTCCGCTTTAGTACCCTAGAAAACACATTTTGGTATTGACGTAAACTTCTCTTTACAAAGACAACCTCTTTGGTGAACTGGTAAAATCAATTCGATATTTGCTTTGATGTGTGTTAAATACTATAACAAAACTACTGACCAAACTTGCTCATATGTAGGACAGGGGAGGCTGCATGCCTAGCCGAGGGTCACCAAGGGTTCCATCTCGGAAATTGGTAATCGCGCCAGTGGGGCTACCGGTGGGTGGGGAGGCTTTTCGTCCCTCGAAAAATGGTTTAAAAAAATATGATCGTTATAGATTTTTGCCCTAAAATATGTGTCAAAATGCACCAAATCAATTCAATTTTACCAAAATGCTCTTGGAAGAACCCTTCAGACTCTCAATGAGAGGCTTGTGACTATGACGCCTCCACAAAGTTTGAATTTCAATCCCGACAGTTGTCCCCCATATTTTGTCAGTCTAACCCTATTTGTAAACCCCAAATAAGTTCCCGAGACATCGAGTACAAATAGAGGGCAAACATAGGGGGACATAATGTATTGTAATTTCGATGTAGACATTTCGAGAATTGTACAAGCTGGTGTTCTGTGGTCGATGAAGTAGGTCAGTAACGTTACGTTTTTCGTAAAAGTCTAAAAACAGAGGTCGCATTTGCATTAAAGTGATACTACGTCTTAGAATGAGTATATTTTCATCAGTGAACTTACCTGGTGTCATAAAGTTACAACAGAATCCCTGTAAAATCTGGAAAATTGTTAAAACTAAGTAATAGTTGAAAAATGCTTAATCTTGATATTAAGCGTTTTTCAATAGTTAATTGCATATTTATGGATAGTTTTTTTGTTTTATCGGATTATATAAGGATCCAGTTATGTTATTTATGACACCAAGTATATCTACTGGCTCTTATTCGCCAAGTTTAAAATTCTTAAATTTTATGTTCATTCTAAGACGTAGTATCACTTTAAGCTGTACGCAATAAGAACCACTTTAGAACAACGTTGATAGGCTAATGATCCTGTATATGTTCGTCAATGCATACTGCAAGGGGTAACCAGTTTTCGTTGGAGCAAGGAATAGCGATGTAAAACTTCGAATTCATCTCTATACGAATGTGAAAAAAAAAAACACACGTAAAATATCTTTTGATCTTTAATCAAACTTATAATAACATCAGCGAATCTCTCTAAATTGATACAAACTGATACAATATTTGATATACTGTTGATTACTTTCACAGTCAATAAATGGATCCAGTGTTGGAACTCGCCTACATTCGGCTCAACTACATCCGGTTCTTAATCATTCAGGGCTACTTATTGATATAATTCGCGCCTGACCAAGTTATTTACCAGAATGTGTTATTTCCTTGTACAGGCTTACAACCGACCTATTTCATCACTGTAACTTAACACCATGTTATCATTGCCCCTCCGGATATATAACTTGCCTCAAGATCAATCAAGCCTGGTTACGGGCCTGCCCTTGTAAGAACCATGAGTACTTGGGTTATCTGGTTGTAAAAACGAAAAAGAGAAGGCTAATGCTGCTGTCCTGGCAAAATTTCCTTCATTGTATCCTGCATGGCGTTGCCCGTCTTCATAAGCCCACATGGTGCAGAAATGTAGGACGTAAAACTCCATTCATTTCATTTCATCTGACCGTCAACATATCTACCATGTCATCACTGTGGAAGAAATTGAGAAGTATTTAATCGGATTATGACAGTATAATCCTATTATTAAATAAACATTTCACAGAGCTGTACATCTACGCAAACCATATGAAGGGACAGATGCGTCATTTTTAGGGGTTGATTTGGGTCTTGAATATATGTGAATAGTCATCAGAAGTACTAGAAATGTAAGAAAATTACAAAATTCCTTTAAAATACTTCGAACGGGAAGAATTTTACTCACTATTTCTATATAAGTATGTCTGTTATGACGAGTCGTCATTTTAACATTCAAACGCGGATAATTCTGGACATACGTGGATTTGGAGGCTCAAATGTCGACGGTGAGCTGTGAACACTATTACTGATTGGTTTAGCTAAAAAAAAGTTTCTATGATTAAAGTAGCCTACGATTGGTAAAAAAAATGGCGCATCTGTCCTTTTAAGTCTCACAAGAGTACAAGGATCAATGCTTAACTACAGTAATGGGGATCCGTGAACTTTTAAAAAAATGATATTGCCCTAGCATAAGTTGTGAACCATTTTATATTGTGTGTTAACCTTTTAGATACTTACTTTGGTGCATTGTTTTTTTAAATTTTGTATTTTTTTCTGGGTACGGGGGGCCCAGGAGTGGGTTAACCAGTCCCTACGGTAGTTCAACTATGCCTGTGATGGTATATGATCATCTACACACTATCAGGAACTCCATCTGATACCTTGACATCATTGGACACTTTTCTAGCATCACAGAATGTATTTGATTGGATTGTACGCTAGTCAATCGGGACCCGCAAAAGGAGGACAATATTTAAACAAGCACTAAATAAACTAGACGAGGGCTCTGATTGGATATATTCGCTAGCAAACAATCCAATCAAAGAGCTAATCGCTTCTAGAAACTGATGGTGATCCAACGGTAGATGGGGTTGGGGAGCTGTAAATATTATTTGTTAAATAATCAAACAGAAAAATAAATATATAAGTGAAGCGAATATTTGAATAAAGTATTAAATTTGCATTAAAAAAAATCGAACACCTAGCAATGCTTGGAAACCGTACAACAGGCAAAATCCTTCAACCTATCACTGTATATATTTCTATATCTTACGATAGATTGACTAAGCGAATCTCTCTCCACACGTCTTGCTTGATCCCCAGAGAAGCTTGTTCGAAGCTTGAGACCAAATCACAATGAGAGAGATAGTTCATATGCAGGCCGGACAATGTGGCAATCAAATCGGGGCAAAGGTAAGTACATGTAATGTTTTGAAATTCATTTGGTAATTATCATACCAATACTTGGGCATAGATGCAAGCTTAGGTCATGGTAGATGATTGGAAACTTCCTACAAAAGCTGATATGTTCTAACAACATGTATTCCGTCACAGATTAGTTCAGTTTGGCAACGCAAATTTTTCAATTCTTAGCCAGCGTTAAAGGTTACATGATGGTCATCAGTTTGACCAATCGTATTTTAATCTCAGAATCGGGATTTCTTTTTAGCTTAGCTAATCATTAATAGTGTTCACAGCACAGTGAAGAAATTTAAGCCCTCAAAACCATGTGTGTCCAGAATTATCAGAGTTTGAAAGTTAAAATGACCACTCGCCTTTTCTTGAGACTGAGATAACAGAAAAGACATAAAAAAGTGAAATTCCTAGTTTAAGGTATTTATTGAAGGAATTATGCGATTTTCGTACATTTCTTGTACTTCTAAAGACTATTTACATATATTCAAGACCCTAACTCCAGAAAATGGCGAATCTGTCTCTTTAAGCCTATAAAATGTTTATTTGACTAATATCAAACTAGCCATTGCTAGTTAAACTACTTGACCGTTTGGTTGTTGATGATTGTGTAGTATTGGTCACCTTGTTTTCAGTTCTGGGAAGTGATCTCTGATGAACATGGTATTGACCCTACTGGAACTTACCACGGTGATTCTGATCTTCAGTTGGAGAGAATTAATGTTTATTACAATGAAGTTACTGGTAAGTTAATTGTAGTCTGAAATTTGAGTAAGAAAAATAGAGTTATGTCTACTAGTCTGCTTGGCTTATTTAATGCAGTAGTCCGACGTTTAAATGAAGGCTGCTCTTTGCTACTAGCTGTGTATGTAAAAAATCTCTCGACGGTTAGCAATTTGCAAAAGAATGGGCTAACGCCGCGGTCTTTAAAATCAAATAGTGCAGAGTTGTCCGTATCCAGTCCACTGTGCATTGAAGTCGGCTGTAAAGCTCAATTTCATTTCTGAAATAGCCTAACCAATATGTAACTCGAGCGTTTCGTACTGCATTTTAAGTAAGAATATTTAAATGAGTAAATTTCCATAAGTAATATTCAATAAGTGAATAAATTTTGGTCCCCTTTTTCAGGTGGTAGATACGTCCCTAGAGCTATTCTGTTTGATCTTGAACCAGGTACCATGGATTCTGTACGTTCTGGTCCGTATGGTCAAATCTTCCGTCCCGATAATTTTGTATTCGGTAAGTTATACTGGCAGTCAACCCCATCACTAACCTAGGGGTGAGATGTTGGATTGTCGTTTTTGAAGCGACTTTATGTCGTGAAATCGTTTGTTTCTCGATTGTTTTCGTGGGGGCGGAAAAATCCCGATTCCATGGCCAGTGATTTTTGAGCGCTGACAAGGTTTAGATTCTCATCTTCTTCCATCTACTATTATGTACAATGCGTTTAAAGGTATTTAAATCCCTGGACGGTTTTTTCGAAAGTTGATTTCCAACCTTGGAAAAGTTAGAAAACCGGAAGCCCGCTAGTCTGCAACACCGGAAGTGTGTATTCATATTCATGTTCGTGGCTGATAACCCTTAAAAATCAGGCAGAAGGACGCAAAATTCAATTTCACATTGACCCACAACTATAGTAACCATGTCTCGTTGTTGGCCAGAGCAGTGCGGATAAAAACTCCATTTAAATTTCAAATTCACCCGAACCTTTAGCCATCTTGTCTTGTTCTAGGTCAGAGCGGTGCGGGTAATAACTGGGCTAAAGGTCATTACACAGAAGGTGCTGAACTAATAGACTCGACCCTAGACGTCATGAGGAAAGAGGCAGAGAGTTGTGATTGCATTCAAGGATTCCAGCTGACCCATTCTCTAGGTGGTGGAACTGGTTCTGGTATGGGAACCCTCCTCATCGGTAAAATCCGTGAAGAATATCCAGATCGCATGATGAGTGCATTTCCGGTTGTCCCTTCACCAAAGGTAGGCTACTTATCCAAAACACGCTCTGGGAGAAATTGTTGAGTCATTTCATCGTTTAGGTCACATCTTATAAATGAAATGGAATCGTACGTACTTTCAGGGCCGTAAATTAGTTTAAATTATTGAGAAGACTTTGATTTTGAATAATTTGGTTGGAGTCTGGGGCCAGCCATGCGCCCTAAAACTATGCATTACACCAAATCCGCTTGTGTTATGCGCCCAAGTTTGAAGTTATTTACCGCCCTGTCTTCTATCTCTCATTTCGGTGAATAAAAACTCAAACACCAATCCCCCTTTACCATGTCCACCCCTGATCCCGACTTGCATGAGGCCTCATGAAATAAGAATGGGTATGTATTTGCAGGTATCTGATACAGTTGTGGAACCGTACAACGCCACGCTATCAGTACACCAACTAATAGACAACGTCGACCAGACTTACTGTATTGATAACGAGGCTCTATATGATATCTGTTTCCGTACCCTCAAACTGACCACACCCACTTATGGCGATCTGAACCATCTGATATCAGCCACCATGTCTGGAGTAACTACATGCTTGAGGTTTCCAGGTCGGTTTTTGAGAATAATCTTATTGTACTTAGGCGATAAATTTTGGGCCGTGCCCAAGTATTGAAGTAATAAGGTATCTCTTAATGAAAGTGGTATCGGGTGTCTAGAAGAGTAGGCTTAAGCATACCCTGCCTGACGCCACACACGTCATTGTTGGTTCAATATTATAAACAATGTAATGTAACAAAGTCTGTACAATACACATATTCTATGCCTTTTTTCAGGACAGTTGAACGCCGATTTGAGAAAGATTGCAGTTAATATGGTGGTTTTTCCTCGATTACATTTCTTCGTACCAGGGTTCGCTCCCTTGACATCACGTGGTTCTCAACAGTACCGGGCTTTAACTGTACCGGAACTGACGCAACAAGTATTTGATGCTAAGAATATGATGGCTGCCTGTGATCCTCGTCACGGTCGCTACCTGACTGTCAGTACATTGTTTCGAGGACGTATGTCGATGAAAGGTTAGGGAAGTGAATTTTGAATCCGCTTCCAGCCAATCTTATTTTCTTGTACAGTACAGGCCGCTTTTCCCTCATAAAAATCTTGATAGGATAATTCTCATTAAAGATGTCACGTTTACAATAAATTTCAATCGTAGAATTTTTATGAAACGTGACATTAGACATGCCCAGGTCAGTTTATTTACTGTATAATTACTAATCAGAAATATTGACGGCTTAGCATATAAACATAAAACAGTGGTTTATAAGACTAGACTACATCAAAGGCCTTGTTAAAATCACCAATATGACACACAATGCACATCAGTGTGGTTTGTCTTTAACAGATAAAAAAAACAACCAGAATAAGAACAGCTTATACTTCTGGTATTCTAGCACCGGCAATCTAGACTACATCAAAAGCCTTGGTAAAATCAACAACATGACGGACATTTGTTTGTATTGTAGATGTAGAGGAACAGATATTGAATGTTCAGAATAAAAACAGCAGCTATTTTGTTGAATGGATTCCTAACAATGTTAAAACCGCTGTTTGTGATATACCACCCCGAGGACTGAAGATGTCGGCGACGTTCATTGGTAACACTACAGCCATTCAGGAATTGTTTAAACGTATATCGGAACAATTTACAGGTAGCCTTCTTTCAGATCACTGTAACTGTACCAAGAACCTTTGTTATCATCTTCACAATGTCAAGCTTTGTCTTATCCCGTAGTCAAATTCGTAATAGCTTGACACTGTGAAGGAAGATGTCTTCTAGCTTGCTGGACACAATACTTTTACATGTGCTAATGGGTGTCGGTTGTGTCGGGTATGTCAATGTCACCCCTTTCAGAGAGTCCACATATTATTTAGTATATTTTTTGTTTGAAATTACGAAGGTTTATGTTGTTTGCTTAAAACGGCTTCAAGGGAAATCAGGGAAGTCCAGATTGCAAAACAAATTCATAACCCAGCGACATACACCATTCTCTTAATAAAGGCTCAGTTTATTTTCCAATCCCCGTTCAGCAAGTACCACACAGGACCTCGGGATATTGTCCAATGCTTAGGAGGATGATATATTAAGTATATTCGCATTTCCAGCTATGTTCAGAAGAAAGGCTTTCCTACATTGGTATACTGGTGAAGGTATGGATGAAATGGAATTTACTGAAGCTGAATCTAATATGAATGATCTGGTATCTGAATATCAACAGTACCAGGATGCTACGGCTGAAGACGAAGGAGAATTTGACGAAGATGAAACCGAAGAAGAAGCATAGCAATAAAATATTCTCCACGACCCCTTTTCACAGAAAATAGGTCGATCAAAATTTGTATTTAGTGTGGAATTTTTCATTTGAAAATAACATTTTAGGCTCCCAAGATTTTTAACCTCTCATACCCCCTAACCATTTGTCATTCGTTATTCATTCAACTATATAGATAAATAACAGTGGGGTTTGATCAAATCTATCTATATGTATATAGAAATATTAAAACAGAACCTAAAAAAACATGTTGTTTATCTTCATCTTAACAAGGTCATACAACTGCATCTAATTCCTTGACACCATTGTATTACGGAAGTAAGCAAATGCAGCGAATTGATTGGATTGTACACTAGGGAATACAGTTAATCATGTATGAAGACATATACGAGTATTTTATCCTCTTGGCTTATTGATCGTTTCCTTAACCCAGCTGATACAATGACATACTGACATAGTGACACGGTGATTAGAAACAAGGACGACACTACAGTACGTGTAAATGATAACCAATATCAGTGACGATATAAAAATACACTAAAAGGTCTTCACATAACACCAGTTGCGAATAGGAACAGTGGTCTTAAATTTCGAACGCAACTCTCATTTTACTGAGTTCGGATTAATGGCCACTTTCATCATTCGCTTTTATTGACATGTAGGCATATGGGCTCCAAATCTTTAAGGAGGCTTTAAGTGGTTTTTACCGCAAAATACTTCTCTCTTTTGTTCCTCCAAACCAATCAATTCCCCCCCCCCCCAACCCCGCAATCCCACCAAAGAAAAAACCCACGATATGATACGATACAATATGATACGATACAATATGATACAATACAATATGATACGATACAATATGATATGATACGATATGGTATAATATGGTATGATACGATATGGTATGATACGATATGATATAATACGATATGGTATGATGCGATATGGTATAATACGATATGGTATGATACGATATGATATAATACGATATGGTATGATACGATATGGTATGATACGATACAGTATGGTATGATACGATATGATACGATACAGTATGGTATGATACGATATGGCATGATACGATATGGTATGATACGATATGGTATGATACGATATGGTATGATACGATATGGCATGATACGACAAACGATTTTGTTACTACTTTGCGATCATATGACCATGCAATGTTTAGCGTTCCTGCAAACATACGCTTGGGATTATTATGCGATTACTTGCGGCAGGGCGACATTGTTACGACCTTACAACGCCTGAGACGATATGATATATGATATGATATATGATATGATATATGATATGATATATGATATGATATATGATATGATATATGATACGGTGTGGTATGATACGATATGGTATGATGTGATATATGATACAATATGGTATGATACGATATGGTATGA